TTCTTAGCCCTGTTAGCTATGAATTTTTCCCCTGATGACTTTAGCTTCCTGTTTCAATCTTCTACACTTCTAATTTATAGTGACCCCTATTTCCCCTTTTTTCCTTTTGTTATATATTGCTTTTTTTATTTCTACTTGCAGTCTTTACATTGTCACTGAATCGGGATGGGTTTTTAGCCAAAGTTGTCCTCTACTGCTTTTTGGCCGTCTAATAAACAATTCTTAAAGCACTCTCAGAACTCTCAAATTTCATTTATATTTTTCTGTCTAACTTTTTCTACCCAGTTAACTTTGCTCATCATTTTCCTCTGCTTTGGGAAATTAGCCCTCTTGAAGCACAAAGTATATAGTGACCAGTTGGGAGTGGCCTTCATTTGCCCATATTGAATGTAATCCAGTCATGGTCACTGGACAGTGGTAACCACCAACTTCCAGTCCAATGATTAATTCATCCTTATCTGTGATAATTAGGTTCAAAATGGTTAACTTTGTGTTGGAAAATCATCCTCTGTTGACCCAGGCTGGATATGAATCAGTAACATAGCTACAAAAGGCTCTGGTTCAAATTATAATCACAGCCCTGTGTACTTTGTAACAAGCCGGGCCTCAATCAGCAACAAAGTCCCCAGATTCCTCTTCCACTAGAAGAGGCAGGATGGAAGTTCTGTGGCAGAGTCAAGTCATTTTAAGAATGGAGGCTTATGGAATGAAACCTGACTGTGAATACTGTAGTCAGCACAGCAGACCCTTTGTTACTTATCCAATGCAATTCATTCCACGCTACACCCACATTTTCAAAGGGCTGCAGATTTTTGTGTTGTCCTGCATCACGATCATTATTCAAAACTAACATTCTATGGCAATTACTGGAGCTGCTCATACCGCTTACAGCTAATGTTTCCAGCTGCCTGGACACTCCAGCACCAGTAGCCAGCTCTATGTCCTCTGGACACTGCATGGTTGGAAGATTTTCTTCCCACTTGGCTGTTTCAGGCGGCATGCAATGCCCTCTAGTGGCACATGTTTGCACAGGTACTATCACAGCCCAGCATCCTATTTTACATTCTCCTTTCAAGGTAGGCAAAACAATGGTGAACAGCGAGCAAGGGAAGTAAGAGCCAGATGGTTTTTTCAAGCCCTGGCCTGAGTTGTGAAGAGGATGTAGGGGAGCCTTGCTGCAGCAGAAGCCCGTGACTCAGCCAAAATTCTACCTGTGGAACTGGGAAAGAGCGTCCTGACGTTGCAAAGAGCAGCTCTGCCACCTCTTGCCGCCTGCACTCCTTGCTGCCCTGGCTCTACTCTGCTGCCAGGCCCCTCACTGGGAGGATCCAACCCCACCCTTGTGAGAAATTCACCAGCTGCATTTCAAGGATGAAAAGCTCTTGGTAGATGAAGGAATGTAAATAAAAGCAGCTGCTCCAGTCAGAGCAGCGCTCACAGTGACCAAAGGAGAGGCAACATGGGGACAGCTGTAATGTGGCGGGGCAGTGCAGAGAAGCAGCATGCAAAGCCCAGGGGAGATGAGTTCCATCATGTTGCATAACTGACCTCCCCAGCCCAGACAAGCCTCCACAGCTGCTGCCCTCAGAGATTCTGCAATCATGGGGGTGGTCCAGCTATTGGAGGCATCTCCCACTCCCGAGGTGGTGGGGCTGTGGGGAGCTGCACCAAGCAGGGAGGCTCTGGGCCTTGCTCTGCTCCCATTCACACTGGTGTGCATGAGAACACAGAGGGAAAGGAGAATCAGGTCCTGCCACTACTCAGAGCCTAGGGAATGAGGTTGGGTGGGGAGATGGACACATCCTCCAGGAGATGGGTTCTTTCCTGACCATCATCTGAGAGGGGAAGATTTGTAAATGGGCCATAGAGGCTGAGGTCTCCCTAGCTGACAGTTTCAGAGTAGCAGCCGTGTTAGTCTGTATCCGCAAAAAGAAAAGGAGTACTTGTGGCACCTTAGAGACGAACAAATTTATTTGAGCATAAGCTTTCGTGAGCTATAGCTCACTTCATCGGTAGCTCACAAAAGCTTATGCTCAAATAAATTTGTTAGTCTCTAAGGTGTCACAAGTACTCCTTTTCTTCTAGCTGACAGTGCCACTAAAAGAGGCATTTGGGGCTAAAGATTCACCTCTCCTCTGGAAAGTAGCAACTGGGGAGGTTGGAGGGTCCTGGCTAGGGACTGGGGAGTAAGCAGGCTAGGGTTGCCAATTTGGGTTGGCTGGAGATTTCATGGAGATTTCATCCCATGAGGTAGCCTTTAATTAAAAATTAATTTTTAATTCCTGGAGACTCCAGAACAATCCTGGAGGGTTGGCAACCCTAAAGCAGCCAGGCTCTAGGTCTGCAGCCATAGGAGTTACAGGTGTGGGTGGAGAGGAGACTGGGGAGATTGAGCCCCTTGAGAAGGGTGCCGTAGATCAGATAGGCACCTGCCCCTTGAGTTCTGTGTAGGAGCTGAAGGGGATGAAAAACCCCTCCTCAGCTGCCTCTTCCTGTCCCTGGAACAGCTGGCAATCCCAAGTCCGCTCAATAGCTGCCCAAACTCCCCATGACTTCTTCAATGGGGCCAGGATTTCACTGCTGGAGTGGGGTAAAACCTGGGAGGAGTCAGGAATGCTTAAAGTTGGGATAGACTCTCTTAGTTTATTTTAGTGACAGCATGAACATAGTTCCTGTTAATGCTTATCACAAGGAAAGACAAATGAGCATGTGTTTTATCCTGCCTTCACCTTCCACGGAGCAATAGTGAAGTCCCTATTGGATTTTATGGAGTCTCTGGCTCTTCTCCCTTTCCAGAGTCAAAACTCTGCTTGGGGTAAGATGTGTTATATATACACATTTCATTTCCTTTGTTGTTGATTGGGGTTTAGGGGCATAAAGGGGTATCAGTGGCAGCATCAGGCTTTCCCAAATGGAGTTCTAGTTCAGGGCTTCAGCTCTGTGTTGAAAATGCCCAGGGCAACTGCTTCTCTCCCTGGACACTACTCGGAAGAAGTGTGCACACCTCTGTGTGTCTTACCGGCCCCTGAGACATTACAATTCTTTTACATGAACATGGCCTTGGTTTGCTCCCAGCCATGGGGTACCATGGAGCTGGTTTCACTCTGTGTCTCTGGTTTAAACCAAGCAACCCACTCTTTATCTTGTTACATTTGGGAAGTGATAACTTTTTCAATAATAGTTGAACCAATGTGGTAACGATTGAAATACTCCACTTACCTACCTTTAGCAGGGAATTAGGAAGGAAGCCTGGCTCATTCAGACCATGGGGATATTGCCAATCCTACATATTCAAAAATCATATGTCAGGCCCCAAAATCTCATGAGATTGCCTTAAAAATCATGAGATTTTTAAAGAATAATCCATCTGGGTTCTTTTTATTGACTTTGTGATTTTTGAGCCTTTTGGGTTTGTGTTTTCAAGTTTTTCTCCGCAACCACAAGGGCTGTTGCTATTGATTAGCGTCGTTTCCTAGAGTTACATTGGACCCCATGGCTGGAGATATCATTGTTAACTCAGATAGGAAGAGCTATTTTTTCACTAAGCAAACCTTTGCTTTCATGAAAATGACCATATGGAGCCTATACCAGGCCTTGAGCAAACAGTGGAATCCTCCTTTGGCAAAGTCAGGACTTCACAAACTTTCATAAATAGGGGCCGGGGGGACTTCTGCTCTCCGTGGGGCATACGGAACGACATCAAAGGTAAGCTGCACTTTCATTTCCTTCTTACAGATGTAGACTTCGGCTGTTCCATCTAATTTTCTGGAGATCAGATTTTTCTCCACCAGACAGTATCTAAGGCCAGATCTTCAGCAGGGGTAAACCAGTCAATTAACAATCGTTGAGGAGATCTATGTTCTCTGAATTATAGTACTTCCCTATAAGCCCTGATCCTGACCTCCTTACTTCAGTGGAAGTTTTGTACTGAAAAGTTAGGTAGGTATAGCTACAGCACTCAGAAGGGGGTGGGGTGGGGTGTGAAATTCACACCCCTGAGTGCTGCAGCTACGATGACCCAATCCCCGGTGTACACATGGCTAGGACAACAGAAGACTTCTTCCGTCACCCTAGCTACTGCTGCGCAGAGAGGTGGATTTCCTACAGCGATGGAAACCCCCCTTCCGCCGCTGTAGGAAGCAGCTCCACTGCAGTAGCACAGCTGCAGCTGAATAAAGAGGGCAGAAAAGGGCACGTAGCATTTCTCTTATATTTACAAAGCCCTTGGGTGAAATCCTAGCCCCATTGAAGTCAATAGCAAAATTCCCATTGATTCAATGGAGCCAAGACTTCACCCTTTATGTGTAAGAACCACGTGTACCATCTAGTGTCTTGGGACACCAAACAAAGGGCCAGCACAAGGTGGTAGCAAAACAGTGGTGATCTTCTACTGAAGGTACCACCCAATTGTCCGGACAGAAGGGTGCATGGGGAGGGAGCTCTCTTATAGAGGTGTTGAAAGCAATGACCTTTGAATGAGCGTGTGAGATATTTCAATGGGAGCATGGGGAATCATTCCCCTGACAGCTGTGCAGGTGGAAGTGATGTGTTGGCATAGGGTGCTGGGGGTATGGCTGGGTTTACTGCAGTCGGTGCATCAGGATTGGCTCCATGAATTTCAGTGGGCATTTCACCTGTGTAGGATTCTCAGGGAATGGCCCTGTGTTAATCCAGTGGCACAGGTGAACTGAGAACAGCACGGAAGTATGAGCAGCTTCAGGGAAGGATCCTGCAGCATCAGCCTGCACTCCGCCCCCATCCCTCTGCCAAACAATCGAGCCTTTCTCTCGGGCTGAGTGACATTGGGAAGATGAATCCAGGGAGTCTCAAGGGCGAATGTCAGTGAGGGCAAACTCCGAGGAAGGGGGATCTCAGGGGCTGCTTTCAAGATTGTTACCTGTGCCAGAGTAACATCGCTGCATGGCACAGTGACTGGGGGCAGGCGAGGCAGTTCTTACTGTAACTAACCTCTGCGGATCCCTTGGGGCTTTGCTTCCCTTCCTCCCTGTAGGATGGGGGCCATGAGGCCGGCGCTGGCCTTGCTATCCCTGGCCTACCTGCTGCACACAGCCGCTGCCCTGAGAATCTGCGCTTTCAACATCAAGACTTTTGGAGACAGCAAGCTGTCCAATGAAACCATCGCAGGCATCATCTTGAATGTGAGTATGGGGGAGTTCCCACATACCAGCAGTTCTTGAGAGGTGGGGGTACCCTGGACTCCATCAGGGCCCAGGGGCTCTCAGAAGTGTGATTTCTGTGGGCCTGGAAAGTATGCTCTCACTTGGGCCGAAGGCTACTTAGAAACCCAACTGAAAGGGAAGTGATGAAGGGCCAAGTGCTGGGTTGTTTCTCTGCTTACTCCAGCAGGATTGGCTTAGAGATAGTAAAACTGGTTAGTGTGACTCCTCCTCCATGGTGCTTATGCCCTAGACCTCTTGGTTACAAGTGGAGACAGCCTATCTGAGCCCTGCCCAGGAACCCCTTCAGGGAGACACTTTCCAGCCACACGGTCCCCTATAACACTGAGAAGCAAAACCAAGGTCTAAGTGAGGAGATGATAGATCAATGGATGGTTATGTATGGGCATAGATGGTCTATCAGAACAAAAGAATGGCCACACTGGATCAGGCTAATGGTCAATCTCTTCCAATAGCAGCTGGTGCCAGATGCTTCAGAGGGAATGAACAGAACAGGATAATTATTGAGTGATCCATCCCAGTTTCTGGCAGTCATCAGCCACACGGTCCCCTATAACACTGAGAAGTGAAACCAAGGTCCTAAATAAATCAATCAATCGATCTATCTATCTGTAATGGGACTGTTGTCCCCTGATTCAAACTCAGTGGGGGTGTTTTGGTTGGCTCACTCCCAGTACCAAAAGAACTGGGAACAGTCGATGGGAGATCAAGACCCTGAGACTAACAGACCCCAGGAACAATGGGGAGAGGCCAATGCTCCAGGTCAGCCTGATTGACAGGGCAGGCAGGCTAATCAGGGAGTCAGGAGGCCAGGGGAGTCCTGTCCTCCATGTGAGCTGGAATTGCCTGGGTCAGACAGAGTGGGGCCAAGCTAAGGAAAAAGCAGGGGCTCAAGCTCAGCTGGGGAGCAGAGCTGGGCCAGATCCAGAAGGACCAGAAAAGCAGCCCAGGAAGCAAGTCAGTGCTGGGAGCAGAGTCACAGAAGCAGCCCACAGAGCAGCCTGTGCTGTGGGAAGAACTGCAACAATCAGAGCCAGAGGGGCCAGAGAAGCAGCCCAGGGAGCTGGAGGCAGAGCAGCAGCAGCAGTGCTGAGGCAAAGTGGAGCTGAAGTTGGAGCTGAGGCAGAGTGGAGCTGGAGCTGAGCTGGAGCTGGAGCAGTCCAGAGCTGGGTGTGGTGAGCAGCTGGGGAGAGCAAGGAGGACCCTGGGCAGCGGGGCCAGCGCAGAGAGACGCCCCCAGCCAAGATGCCCCTTGCAGGCTGCACTGGGAGGGGGATCGTAACCCTGACGGGGTGGAGGTGATGCTGGGAAGAAGAAAGCCTGACGGCGTGTGGCCACTGCCAGAGCAAGTGTCCGACCCACAGCATCTCTGCAGCACAGCCAGGGCCTGAGCAGGTGGCCTGGGACTTGTGAGGAACAGACTGAACTTCCCTGACATTCCAGGGACACTGGTTGTGATGTCCCCGTGCCACAGAGTGGGGTGATGTGTTTTCCTCTAACCTGTCCCATTTTTTCCTTATTTTTTTAAATTGATGGCTGTTTAATAAACTGTATTTGCTTTGAACTATATGTAATGATCAGTGAAGCATCCAGTGCAGAGAGAGCACCCCGGAGTGGGGACATCCTAGCCCCTGCCCTAAGTGACCACAACAAGGTTGGGGGTCGAGACCCCCAGGAATCCTGGGCCCAGCCTTACTGGGGTTACGAGGACTCTGACACCCAGGAGAGTGGGAGGGGAGCCCTTGAGGTCAGGCAGGCCTCTGGGTAAAGGAAGTGGGAGCGAGGACTCAGAGCCTTTCGCTAGCCCATTTCACCGTGGTAGTGTATAAGCCAGGAAAGTTCCCCACAATAGCGGGACCATTCCCCTGCTTACATATCTATCTATCTGGGACCTTGGTTTCACTTCTCAGTGTTATAGGAGACCATGTGGCTGATGACTGCCAGAAACTGGGATAGATCACTCAATAATTACCCTGTTCTGTTCATTCCCTCTGAAGCATCTGGCACAAGGATACTGGGCTAGATGGACCATTATCTAGATCAAGGGTAGGCAACCTATGGCACATGTGCCAAAGGCAGCACGCAAGCTGATTTTCAGTGGCGCTCACACTGCCCGGGTCCTGGCCACCGGTCTGGGGGGCTCTGCATTTTAATTTAATTTTAAATGAAGCTTCTTAAACATTTTAAAAACCTTATTTACTTTACACATACAACAATAGTTTAGTTATATATTATAGACTTATAGAAAGAGACCTTCTAAAAATGTTAAAATGTATTACTGGCATGCAAAACCTTAAATTAGAGTGAATAAATGAAGACTCGGCACACCGCTTCTAAAAGGTGGCCGACCCCTGATCTAGATCTATCTATCTATCTATCACCACTTCAGATTCAGGTGCCACAAGTCCTCCTTTTCTTTTTTCAGATTCCACAGTGTTTTCAGAGACAGACAGAGGATAACCCTGGCAGCCTGGCTGGCGTTCCCCATGGCAGTGAAACTCATCTTGTGCAATCACTGCTGTGTTGGGATCCTGCTGGCTGATTTTTGAACCGTTCTGGAACAGCATGTCTAAGGGAAGCTGGGGTGTTAGGCACTGCACATGCAGCCTGCACCAGGCTCGGCTTCACAGCACGGCGCTTTGTGTTTCCCCCAGATCTTGCAGACGTACGACATCACTGTGGTGCAGGAGGTCCGTGACTCTGACCTGAGTGCCGTCCAGAGACTGATGGATCAGCTCAACAGGTGTTTTCCAAACCTACATGGAAGGGGGGGGAGGAAGAAGGGGAGGAGCCTAAAACCTTGCTGTGGTCTGGAGTGTTTTAGAGCAGATATAAACGAGGCTCCTTCGAGTGCAGCACCCAGCCAGCCATACGGGGAAGGTTACGCGGCTGCCCACAGCAGTTTAGATGAAGGGAGTGCTGGAGCTGGGGCTCTGCAGGTGGCTCTGGCATAACTGACTCAGTGACAGTGTCACAGGGCACATCACTCACCGCTGGTCTGGCACCTCCTCCTGGTCACTCTGGGGATTAGCTTGAGGCCAACACCTCCATCCACGGTCTGCACCCACCCCACCACTTCAGCCGCAGTCCACCTGCAACCCCTCTTGCAGCATCAGGTACCGCAGCATCCTCTTCGTGGCTCAGCCCTCGGGCCATGTCACTATCTGGGTTCCGTGCTTCCGGGGGAGGTTTACCTCCTCAATAGTTCTGCCACTTCCCCAGTGGCGAGTGGAGGGACCCAGGCCCACCCACTGCTCTGGGTCCCAGCCCAGGGACCCTCCACACCACAGTCACTTACTGCATTCCTTTGCCTTTACTATCACTGCATTTCCCTGGGCCACTTCCCCATGGCCACAGCCCCTTCCTCAGTCTCACCAGCCCATCCGGAGCTCCTTCTCTTCTCCCCGGGTTCCTGCCTGCACTGCTGTGTCCAAGGTGCTACAGCAGAGGTGGGCAAACTACACCCGGCCCCTTAGCTCAGGCCGGGGAGGATAGCCCCCGGCCCCTCCCACGCTGAACCCCCTCCTCCATAGCCTCAGTGCACCGCCAGTGCTCTGGCCTGCCGTTCCTGCCAGGCAGCATGGGCAGCATGGCTGGCTCCGGCCAGACGGTGGGGCTGCGAACACCTGTCGCTCTGAGCGGCATGGTAAGGGGGCAGGCAGCAGGGGGGTTGGATAAGGGGCAGGAGATTCTGAGGGGCAGTCAGGGGATTGGGAACAGGGGGTTGGATAGGCATGGGAGTCCCAGGGGGCCTGTCAAGGGTGTGGGTAGGGGTCAGGGCAGTCAGGGGACAGGCAGCAGGGGGGATTGAATAGGAGGTGGGGTTCCAGGGGGGCGGTTAGGGGACAAGGAGCAGGGGGGGTTGGATGGGTCAGGGCTTCTGAGGGGGGCAGTCAGGGGGCAGGAAGTGGGAGGAGGCGGACAGGGGGCGGGGGCCAGGCCCTTTGGGGAGGCACAGCCTTCCCTACCTGGCCCTCCATAGAGTTTCACAATAGCGATGTGGCCCTTGGGCCAAAAAGTTTGCCCACCCGTGTGCTACTGGGTTGCAGCCACCTCCAGACACAGTTCTCCCTCCTCAAATTCCAGTCAATACTGACCCTGATCTGCTCTGCGGCTCTTTTATATGGGCCTGCCGGTCCCTGATCAGTCACTCCTCACAGCCCCTCTCCTTACTGGCCAGTATGGGGCAAATGCCCCATCACAAACACCCTCGTGGGTCTCTGGAGCTTTTCACCACCGAAAGGCACACGCGTGTGAAGGGACCTGGGCATCCCTGCCTGGCGCCACACACCGCCATTCTCACAAAGCAAGCACGACATGGGGTACAGTGGTACCAGGGTGGCATATTTCGGGGCAATAATCTTGTATACAAAAGACAGCACAAACAGGAGCACAGAACTCACTGAGGACATCAGCAAGGTGCAGACACTGAGCAGGTCATGGCCAGAATCTGGGATTGGGCGGGATCCTTGGATGGCTGCTTTCCCCTGGAATTACAGCATCTTCTTGGCTACTCTAGTTTACACCACTGACTCCAATGCTACCCAGGCTTCTGACCAAATGTGCGCAGGGTAGATTTTTGCCAACCGCCCCCATTTTGTAATGTGCAGGGGGCCTCCCAGAGACAGCCAGCAGCCCTACGTGCCACACCACCCACTTTACAAGAGAGAATGGCCTCACCAAAAGAGGGGGGTGTAGTGCGTGAGGGGCGAGGTGTGACACACACGTGACACTGCCTGTGTGATGCGGTGACAAGCTGAGCCCAGAGGAAACAGGGAAGGAAGATCACAGGAGATGCCCCTTCCCCCACATTCCAATGGTTACTTACGAAAATGGATTGGGTGTTTGCTGACAGGGCAGACAAAAATCGTGGGGCCTGGGGCTCTCCTGCTGTGCCCCCTGTGCAGCCGTTTACACCAGTGCAAAGTGACTGTATACACTGATTCTGATCTCATGTACCCAGGTATAAATGAGGGGTAACTCCATTACAGCCAGTGGAGGCCATCCAGTGTGAAACCGGTGTGAGGTCAGAACTGGGCCCTACTATATAGGTGTGAATTGGTGACAAGGGACAGGGGCCACCAACCCCTCAGGAGAAGCCTGTCAAAGGGGCAGAGAGGGCTGGAATGGGCTTGGGAAGTGCAGAGGGAGCAGACAGCCTCAGGCCAGGGGTAACATGACACCAGCGAGGTCTGATTCTGGTATGAGAGCTGAGGCCACCTGCAGATGTCCCTGATGTGGCGGGAGTCACAGGTGCTCAGCACCTCTGTGGCAGAGGGGTTCCCACAAGACCTCTTCCACTCGGCTTCCCAAGAACTCAGTTCGACTCCACTCCCATCACTCAGGTCTCTTCGTTGGGCCTGCAGCGAAGCTACGCTGAGTTGATCAGACTCAAGTGGAAGGGGTGAGGATCGGGCATACCGGTACCGCCCATCCAAAGTGACCCAGCAACCCTCTGTTTTTATAGACAGGTACACATGCCATTGAAGCACTGGTTGGGGGATGGGCATGCTTCTTTTGGAGGACCCAATCCCTGTACAACATGCACTGTCCATGCACAACTTTCTCTTTGCCTTGGCTCACCTTCCAGGCTTCGCTGACCCATTGTTATCTTGTCCATTGTCAGCGGTTCCCTGAGGGTCCCCTTATCTTAGCCACCACAGACAGTCTGGTTCCACCCTGCTGCTCCACTTACCTCCCTAATCCTGTCTCCCAAGAAATGAGGCCTCACCCACGTCCAATTACTCATGTCAAGCCAGCCTACATATTGAAGGGGCCCCATGGGAATGATGCTCCCTGAGACACCCTCCCCTCCCCCCCAAACCTGGCTTCCCGGAACAGAGTGGCAAGGGACCTGCATGGAGGGAGACGTCTCAGCCGTAAAGCAGGCAGGGTTACTCCTACCTATGCTGGCTGGGAGATCAGCTGGGGGTGGGATGGGAATGGTGGGAGGTGGTGCAGGAGCAGGGAGATGTGCTGGACATGTGCACGGCCCTCCCTGCTCCAGCACGGACCTCACTGCCGGCTTTTCTGCCACCCCCACTCTAGGGCTTCTCTGCAGCCATACAGCTATGTGATCAGCGAGCCCCTGGGCCAGAGTACCTACAAGGAGCAATACCTCTTCATCTACCGGTAAGGATCCAGCAAACAGCCACAGCACCTCCTGCCCAACCACTGCTGCTCTCTGCATGCATGTCCCTGGGCTAGGGTTGCCAATTTGGTAACATTTAAAAACCGGAACCTCCCCAGCCCTGCCCCTTCCCCTGAGGCCACACCCTGCCCCAACTCTCCCCCTGAGGCCCCACCTCTGCCATGCCTCTTCCCCGAGGCCCCACCCCTGCCACGCCTCTTCCTGCTGACACCCTGCCCCTGTCTACTCTTCTTCCACCCTCCCTCCTGTCACTTGCTGCTTTTCCCCTCCAACCGGCTCAGGAGGGACTCACTTGCTTTGCTGGTGCTTGGAGCTGCAGCCATCTGATGCAGGTAGGAGGTGGCCCTGGCCATATAGGGGCTGGTGTGGGTGATGACTTGGCTCCTATCCAGCCTACAGTAACCGGACATTAGGTGTCTGGTCAGTAGATCTGACCGGACTCTGTCAGGTCTCCTTTTTGACTGGACTTTCGGATAGAAAACCGGACACCTGGCCATCCTACCCTGCGTGCACCAGGGCCCACCCCAGAGTGGAGCCACCTGACTGCGTGTGGTCATTCCATCTCTCCTCCCGGCAGGACGGGTGTAGTGTCGGTGATGGACAGTTACTGCTACGATGATGGCTGTGAGCCCTGTGGGAGCGACACCTTCAGCAGGGAACCCTTCATTGTGAAGTTCTCTTCCCCCTACACAGGTAAGCGGGGCCCAGGGATCTCTCTGCCCCATGGCACTGGGAGCAGCAGCACCCCAGGCCATCCTGCATCTAGCTAGAGAAACCCCTGCTCCCCCACACGCTGACCCCTCCCACCAGGGAACAAGGAACGTTACCATGGAGAGTTCGGCAAAGTCTTTGGGAATGATGCTTCAACTCAGGACAGGCCTAGATCCAATAGGGGGAGCGTGGGGCTGGGTCCGGTTCTGGGGAGTTATTCTGACTGGTATGTGGGCAGCCTGACATAGTGGTTGGAGCAAGCATTGGGAGTCAGGACCAGTCTGATACCAGGAGGTCAGCGTCCAGAACAGGCCAGAGAGCAAACCAAGGTCCGGGGTCAGGCAGGGCCAGGTTACCAGGAGCTCATTAGCAGGTAACAGAAGCAGGTATGCCAGGGGAAGCAGCCCTGAGCAGGGAGATCCTGGCAGCATAGACATCTTCCTGTTCCTGTGCTGGGTTTATATAGTTGCAGTGAAGCAGTGAGGACCCCCCGTGTTCTGCCAGCTGGAGGACTGAGGTTCTCTGGCGGAGTTCAGCTCCTACTCGGACACCAGTTAGCAGGTCAGTGGGTGGCGGGTTGGCGCTTACTGGTGCTGAAGTGCCCTATGGACCAGGGTTCAAGACCTGCAGTCCCTGATGGGTGTGGGTCTGGATGCTGGCTTGCGGAGTGCGTGCCTGGGGCTGTTTCACGGCATACGCCCCTGCAGGGGGCTGATCTTGGACACTGAACCTGAATCCCAGTGTCTGGCAGGTTGGGGGGTGGTGTTTGCATCCCTTGAGCTGGGGGTCAGTGGCAGGGGATCAGTTCAGCTCATTGTAAAGCCAGGTGCAGTTGGGACCTAGAGCTTAGCTTTGGGGTCGTGGGGGTTCAACGGGCTGTGAGTATACCTGCCCCTCTGCCAGCCCGCAATCCCATTGCTCCTTGGGGTATGATTGGTCACGGGGCTGAGGGAGGAAAAGGGTGGCTGTGCACTGACATACAAACCCCACGGCAGCCGTTCTCATGGGGCCTGAACTCCTCAGAGCAGCCGGGGAGAAGCAGCGACAGTCCTGGCCAGCGGGAGCCCAGCCCAGAGGCTTCCTTTGACAGCTGCTGCTTTGGCACAAAGCCAACCAGGGGCAGCTTTATGGATGGCACTGGCCCAGGAGGGCAGCACACAAGTGCAGAGGGACCCAGAGAGGCCAGCATGGCCAACTGGAGCTGCTAGCACTGTGGGAACTGCCAAGTGACAATAGAGTAAGCACAAGTAATAGGAGATCCTGGTTCAAGTCCCAGTCCTGCCTGATTCTGAGTGGGAGGGGAAGTGTCCATACGGAGAGCATGGTCTTGGGAACCCCAGGGTGGAACAGTCCCAGATGTGTGTGAGAGAGAGACAGCAGGGAGGATGGGTGACGGCTCCGTGTGCGCATGGAAAATGGCTGGCTGTGTAACTTGTGTCTTTGGCAGAGGTGCCGGAATTCGTGCTGGTGCCCTTGCATACGGCCCCCAGTGAGGCTGTGGCAGAGATCGACGCCCTCTATGATGTCTACTTAGATGTCATCAACAAGTGGGGTACTGACGTAAGCAGATGTAGCCGCATGCAAACCCAGTGCCTGCCGTGTGAATGAACTCACTGGCATTCCCTCCCCCGCTTGTCTCGGGTAAGGCTGCTGCTGCCAGGATGGGACATCAGCTAACTTGGCTGTGGAAGGTCCTGGCTAGTCTATTACTTATGCCGACCCCCGACTTCCTGTGCAGAGCTGCTCTGTCTGCCTGGGCCAGTGTAGGTTACCAGGAATGGTCAGAGGGAACAGCCAGGAGCTAACCAGCAGGGTTTGCCTCTGGGGAAGCGAATCTCCCTTCGTCCATATCCACATACTGCTCTGTGTTGAACAAAGCTGTGGAGCAGAGAGGCCCAACTGCACTGCCCCCAACCCCTTCAGCCCTCGGCCCATAGGCCTCAGAGCCACACAACCCCTCTGGGACCCTCGCCGCAGAGTGCCCAAGGGTGGGGAGGTGTGGGTTCCTTCCCGCTTCCCTGCCAGGGTCTCCACCCTTCATCACACGGATGGCGAACGAGGATCTCGGACCCGCTTCCAGCTAAATCGAGGGGTTCCGCGGCTCAGCCTGGACAGCACAGTCCCAGTGTGCCGAAGGCTCGATCAATCAGGAATGGGCTGTAGGGCCTTTCACCTGCTGGCATTGGGCCCAGGACAGTGGTGACTAAAGCCAGCTGTTTCCTGATGACATTGAGCCAGGGAGGTGCACAGAGCACGTCACCCTAGGGGTGGTCTTGGCACCAGAGCCTGGGCACCTGCTCTGCGCTCCCTCCTTAGAGCTGCTCTCTCCAGGGCAGGGCTGGGTACATCAGCAGGAGGCATGGGGGGCCCTGCCTGTGCTGCCCCTGCTCTGCAGATGAAGCATCAGCCCCCCTGGCCCAGGTCATTGCGGTGCCAGGACTTCATGGTGTATCTGAGCACAAGGAAAGCCTCATGACCCCAGCCCCAGAGAAGACGACACCCCGCCCCGTGCAGAGAAGGAACCAGCAGAATAGCCAGAGGGAGTGACAGACCCCCAAACCACCATGTATCAGCTCCTGCCCCTGCCTTAGCCACAAAGACAGCCACAGCCAAGGAGAGCAGTGGTTAGCCAGCGAGACCTCAGCTTGTGGCACTGGCAGGGCTGCCCAGGACACTCCAGAGCGAAGGGCTCAGGGAGGCTGCTGTGCGTGAGGTTCTTGCCTGGCTGGGCCCCCCGCACTGACCTGGCACTTCCTTGGCAGAACATCCTCTTCCTGGGAGACTTCAATGCCGACTGCTCCTACGTCAGGCCGCAGGACTGGCCTTCCATCCGCCTGCGAACCAGCAACGCCTTCCAGTGGCTCATCCCAGACAGTGCAGACACCACTGTGTCGTACACAGACTGTGCCTACGACCGGTGAGGAGAGCTGCTGCTGATCATCCCCAGTGCCGCTACTGGGCCTGTGCCTGGCAGCTGTACGGAGAAGCCCAGGGCTCCATGGTCTGTGGGCTCCCCATCAGCCCTTGGGGGTTGGGCTGGTGCTGAGGCAGATGAGCAGTGGGCTGTCGGGGGAGCCTGCGCTGCCTCTGCCCAGGCTGTGCCTGTTCTACCAGTCAGTAGCGGGTTTCGGTCCCTGGGACTGCCGGTCCCTGAGCAATGCAGTCACCTGGCAGGAGGGTACCATGTGAGCACCACGGCACATCAGAGATAGGAAGGACAGCAGCCCCAAGAGACAGCCTAATGTGGCCAGTGCCAGCCCTGGGGACAGCAAATGACGGGGAGGGGATGAAAAGGGACAAGGAGAGGACCGCAGGTGGGCAGTGCCCTAGCACAGAAGGTCATCACTCATAGGACCACATCTGGGAATACTCAGAGACCCCTTCAGCTGGGGAAAACCACAGCCTCTGGCACAGACTGCAGAGAGACACTGTAGCCCAGCCAGGACACTCATTAACCCTGATTGCCCTGTGCTGTGCTGTGGGCGTGTGCTCCCCACACACCCGGGTGCAATAGGAAGCCTGGCTCTCTCCAGAAGGTTCTGGAATCAGGTGCCGCTGGAACTTGGCCCCACGTTCAGCTGTCACCTGCCTCCACTGAGCTCAGCTTCCACACCAGATGGAGCTGGCTGAGAGCCCCAGGGGGTCTAGCTGCAGGGGAGAGGGATTTTTCCCCCAGGACTGCACAAACCAAGCCACCCTGTCAGCTCCCCCCAGCACGCTCCCTGGCTCCACTACTTAGGGAAGCTGGTGAGGAACCCCACCAGCAGCGCTGCCAACGTTGGCCCTGGGCTCCAGCCTGGCTCTGGGGTGGGCGAGGGCATTCCCTGCAGGGTGTGACCCTGAAGCCCAGCTGCCTGAGAAGTGCAGTGTTTAACCCTAGCCCCTTGTGGCATGTCACAGGATCGTGGTGAGTGGCTCTGAGCTGCAGCACTGTACGGTGGACAAATCTGCCAAGGTCAACAACTTCCAGGAGACTTTCCACCTGCAGCTCAAGGATGTAAGTGAAGCCGACAATCTGCCTGCATGCTCTCAGAGCACCTAGCTGTGAGCAGAGACAATAGCTGCTAGCTAGCCAGGGGGCAAACGACAGCTGGTCAGGACTGGGGCCAAGCTCAGAGATCACTGCATCAAGCTTTGCAGGGAGTCTCCCAGAGTTAAAGGCTAGTCTAGCTCAGCTACACTAAGGCCTGTTCTATACACAGGTGTTGTCCTGCTATAACTGTGTGGGTTTGGGGGGTATTGCTATAGTTACAGGGGCAGGAACTCGTGTGGATGCAGTTATACCAATATAAAGGGGCTGGATAGCTTGTTCCCCTTCCCAGATGCGAAGAGCTATCCCGGGGTAAGCACCTTTAGACCAGTCTAACTCCATCCACACTAGAGGGCAAAAGGGGTACCGCTTGTGGGTGTAGACGAGGCTGGAGACCCTACAGGCCTGATTCTCCATTGTCCCACATCTTGTGTAGAGTGAATGCGGGGCAGAGTAAGAGTGCAGGATCTGCAGGGCAGCCTTTCCCACACACTTGGCTGTCACTGACTGCCCAAGGGGTAGGATGACAGGCCCTAGACATGGTTACATCACCTCCTGGCCAGGACACAGCATTTACACTTGGAGGGTCCTGTTGGCTCTATGCTGTACAGCTCGCTCCGCCCCTGCCAGTGCTTGCTAGTGGCTGTTTTCTTATGGATATTGTGTAGAATATCCCCACTCCTGCAGTTAGCCCCTGCCATGGGTTAAAACCCCGGGCCTGATCCTGCTTTCTCCCTGGGGTAACCATTGTTCTTGGCAGACCAGCTGTCAACTGGTATAACCATAGGTGCTGACTCCATGGGTGCTCCGGGGCTGGACCACCCATGGAAAAAAATAGTGGGTGCTCAGCACCCACCAGCCACAGCTGTTTGGCGGTGCCCCCAATCAACTAATCCGGAGATGCCACCAAACAGCTGATAGGCGGTGCAGCCAAACAGCCGTTTGGCAGCTGGTGGAGGGTCTTGGGGGAGAGTGGAGAGCAGCGAGTAGCAGGTGGGTGGGGGGCTTGGGGCGGGAAGAGGTGAAGTGAAGGTGGGGCCTTGAGGGAAGGGATGGAATGGGGGCAGGGCTTCGGGGCAGAGCAGGGATGGAGCACCCCTTGAGAAAAATAGAAGTTGGCACATCTGGGTGTAGGTGAGAGAGGAGACTCCGGCTGCTCCTTTCACAGCGCTGGGGAATTAGAGGGTAAATTACACTGAGGTCTTGGCTCTCCCTTCGACAGTGCCGTCCACTGCAGCTCATGCGTCTGTGCTCTTACGTGATTGGATGCCACCACTCAGGCATCACTCAGGGGGCTCGCTGCACAGAACCATTCAGCGCCTCGGGAGGCCATCTCCCCTGGGGACTGTGGCTGTGTTTTGCATGCGTGTAGACTGCATGAAGGAGGCAACGCTCTTGGGGGCACTGTGTAGGCAGCGTGGCCCAGTGGCTAGGGCGCAGGAAGGGGCGTCGAGAGGCCGAGGGCCTGATAACCCAGGACTTTCCCCTTGTGTGGTTGGTTGGAGTGGCTGTGTGAAGTGATGGTAACACGCTCCAGGCCAGCTCAGGCTGGGAGCATTTTACACATTCTTTGCACCAGTCTGAATGACTCCCCAAGGCGCAGGGCAGGAGAGGGTTAAACCTTAGGCTTGAATTGCACGGCCAGTTCGCCTTGCTGCTCTGTGCCTCAGTTTCCCCTCTGTAAAGGGCTCTGAGCTTGAGGGAGGAGCTGGGGGAGCCTTGGCTCATTCTGGCATTGGCCTCCTGTTCAACGTGTGCCGCTGGCCTCGATGTCCATGGGATGAGTGCAGGCCGGGCTTCCCCTGGTTTGCACTCACACTCCTGATGGAGCTCACACCTGGGAGCTCATCTAAAGCCATGCAGACCCCTAGGGAGCTCTCCTTCCCAAAGGCAGGGAGCTAACGGGAACCCTGCGTTTGACAATGAGTCACCTTGCATAGGAGGATCTCAGACCACCTCATTAATATTAATTGACTCACCCTGGCAGAGCCCAGTGATAGGGATGGTCAGCGTTATCCCCATTGTACAGGTGGAGACACTGAGGCATGGAGTGGTTGGGTGATTTGCCCAAGGCCATGCAATGAGTCGGTATCAGGGCACGGAACAGATCTAGACACATGCTCTGTCCATTAGCCCATTCTGCCTCCTGCTGCACCTCAGGAATTGCCAGGATTCATGTGACAACAGGAGCCATGACACGAGGTCATGGACAAGCTGTATCTGATGCCTGCTGAGCAGCCCCACAACTTAGGCTCTGTGATTTCTCCCTTTTGTGTCCAGGCCCTGGCCGTCAGTGACCATTTCCCGGTGGAAGTGACTCTGAGGGCTCGCTGAGGCTCGCCTGCTCCTGCTTTGCTCCATCCCCCCCATAGCTACCAGCAAAGCAACCTCTACCGCATTCATATTCCCTTTGGCTGCTGCTGGCTGCAGCGCCAACGCCTTCAGACGAGCTCCCCAGGATGAACCTTAGCATCTACGATTATAGCCAAATACCAGCCTCCTGGCATCTACCTGCTGCTCCTGGCACATCCTCATGGCTGGTCACAAACCCACCTCTCTAGGTGCTGCATCGAATGGCCCACCAGCGTCACTTACTGGGTACCTGGATAACTGGCATATCCATGCCATGCCATTGGGAATGCCCTTCATGCAATGTAGTTAGTAAGCTTTGAAATCTTTGGTCTCGGGGCATCCTGGAGCGTTATGCTGGGCAACAGGGCTGGGGCGGTGCTGATTTTGTGGCCAATGGGTATGTGCAATTAACATAGGCTGAATGAGGGGCAGTTTTATAAGTGCTTGATGATTGGCTAGAAGCCAACTGTGGAGTCGCATGATATCTGGTGTTTTTCATAAAGCCCTAGCTGTTAGAGTCATGTGATTATAGCAGACTCTTGGCTTTCATTAAAAGAGCCAGGTTTCAGCCTTCATGCATGTGTTTAAAAGCTGGAAGATGTGAATGACCTCTCAGCGCTCAGACCCCACCAGGCCAATAAACAGAACCCACCACTGATTATTTTCTCTCTCTCATGATTTTTAAGCCAGACTCATGAGCTCTGAACACTTTGGGATAGCTCAGTGGTTTGAGCATTGGCCTGCTAAACCCAGGGTTGTGAGTTCAATCCTTGAGGGGGCCATTTGGGATCTGGGGCAAAAATTGGGGATTGGTCCTGCTTTGGGCAGGGGGTTGGACTAGATGACCTCATGAGGCCCCTTCCAACTCTGATATTCTATGATTCTATCCAGCAGAAACTAACATGGAGCGTAAGAATGGCCACACTTGGTCAGACCAATGGTCCATCTAGCTCAGGATCCTGTCTTCAGACAGTGGCTGGTGCCAGGTGCTTCAGAGGGAATGAACAGAGCAGGGCAATTATCGAGTGATCCATCCCCTGTTGTCCAGTCCCAGCACCTGGCAGTCAGAGGTTTAGGGACACCCAGAACATGGGGTTGCATCCGTGACCTAAAGCCATTGAGGGCTACCTGTCCTCCATGAACTCTGTGAACCTGACTGAACCTGTCTTGTAACTGTCTGTCCACCTGGAGTCATTCCCTACAGGACAGCGTTGACCCTGCATTGTGGTGTCCCATCCTGATTTGGGGCATTGACCTAGCAACTCTTCGGGGAAGAGATTCTATTCTGTGTCTATGGCTTGCCTTTTATAAGCCCCACCTGCACTAGATGATTTAGTTGGGGATTGGCCCTGCTTTGAGCAGGGGGTAGGATTAGATGACCTCCTGAGGTCCCTTCCAACTCTGATATTCTATGACTCTAAGGACACTATGTCTATACTATGGAATAATAAGGGGGAGTGCTGGTCATCTGCAATTTGATACCATGACATGCAATCAGTATGTAATCAAAGGGCCCGGAGAATCAAATGGATCCATCTGTATCTGATTCAGAGTGTTTTTTGGGGGGTCATTTATGCTCTTGAGGGCCTCTGCCATCTGAGCTGCCAGATTTTGTAATGAGGGGCATTTTTCTGCTCACAGCAGCATCCCTATTCAACAAATGCTACTGCAACAGCAAGACTACAGCTCAGCCCCAGGAGGGAGGGGACTAGACTGTGGCTGTGGGAACAGGACAGGGTTTGGGATGGGGGAGGCACGTGGCTCAGTGGGCATGTAGTGGGAACGCTTCTGTCAATTGCAGTCAGTCACTCAGCTCTCACAATGCATGGAGAGCCCCCAGAACAGCTCAGCGGTGGCCCTGAGTGAATCAAGCCAACCTCCATCTAGGCTGCTGTGAGCATCCTGTTTATTTGGGGGGGTACCTAGCATCTTGGAGATGGAGTGCATTAGTGCAGGGTGTGTGTGTGTGTGTGTGTGAGACCACACACCTGCTAGGGTTTTACTGCCGTGTTACAAAATGTTTTATTGTAGAACAAATTAAACCACAATTAATGATTCTTCTAATTTATTAAATAAGGCACCAAAATATCCCACTGAGCCAGGACGGGCAGGGATGCAACCCCATGCTCTGAGTAACCCTAACCCAGGGGTGGGCAAACTTTTTGGCCTGAGGGCCACATCGAGGTGCAAAACTGTATGGAGGGCCGGGTAGGGAAGGCTGTGCCCCCCAGATAGTCTGGCCCCTGCCCCCTATCTGCCCCCACTCACTTCCCGCCCCCTGACTTCCCCCCTCAGAACCTCCAACCCATCCAACCCCCCCACCTCTCCTTGTCCCCTGACCGCCCCCGCCCGGCACCCCTGCCACCCCCATCCAACCCGCCCCCGCTCCCTGTCCCCTGACTGTCCCGACCCTTATCCACACCCCCGCCCCCTGACAGGCCCTCCAGGACCCTACCCCCTATCCAACCCCCCGCTCCCTGTCCCTGGACTGCCCCGACCCCTATCCATACCCCTGCCCCCTGACAGGCCCCCCAGGACTCTCACGCCCTATCCAACCCCCCCTGTTCCCCAACCCCTGACTGCCTCACCCCAGAACCTCCACCCCATCCATCCGCTCCCTGTCCCCTGACTGCCCCCCGGGACCCTCTACCCACCCCACCCCCCCACCACCGCATGTGCCACCGCTGTCCCCTTACCATGCCGCTCAGAGCGGCAGGAGCTCGCAGTCCCGCTGCCCGGATGGAGCCAGCCATGCTGCCCACCGCTGGGGGAGGGGGAACAGCAGGGGAGGGGCCGGGGGCTAACCTCCCCGGCCATGAGCTTCAGGGCTGGGCAAGACGGTCCCATGGGCTGGATGTGGCCCGCAGGCCATAGTTTGCCCCTCTGCCCTAGCTTCTATTTGCCAAAAGCTTGGAGTAGGCGACAGGGGATGGATCACTCGATGATTGCCTGCTCTGTTCATTCCCTCTGAAGCACCTGGATTGGCCACTGTCAGAAGACAGGCTAGTAGGTTAGCTGGACCATTGGTCTGACCCAGTGTGGCCGTTCTTACGTGCTTCATTCCTTGTTACAGGAAAAAAAATGGGGGGGAAAAATAGTCATTTCTTTTCTACCATGTCCATGCTCTTTGTTACTGGGACAAGTTTCCTGCTCCATCTCCCTTGGCCCCCAGGTGGCAGTGGAGACTGTTTACATCTGGCTACGGCAGAGTTGGACAGCTGCACGTAACCCTTGTGCCAGGGGGTGTCACAGCCCCAAGGTGTCGCGGGCAGTCACCCCTGCTCCTGGGAGAAAAGGTAGGCTGCTTGGAGAAGTGGCCACAGCTGTGGTCACACCTAATCAGGCCACAGCGGTAGGAGAAAATGGCTAAGGGAGGAGCTGGGTCAGTCTCGCTCCAGCCTTGGAGTGGGAAGGGCCAAGCTGCCTGGGAACAGAGGGTACCTGATGCAGAGCAGAGCACGGCTGGGGAAGAGCAAGAGGAGCTGGGGAGCTCCAGCCTGGCAACTCCCCGGGTTGAGGCCTTGGTAAAGGCCTAAAGAGGTACTGGTGCTGCAGGGAAAGGCAGTTGGTCCAACCCCTTTGCCAGTGAGGAGTGGCCATCACAGACTGCAGTTTGCCCCAGTGAGAGGGGGCTAGATGATGACTGGCAGTAGCCACTGAGGCAAGGTGGGTATAGGGGAAGGGAGTTCCCTTGGGAGGGGGAGACCTGGGTGAGGGGACTGCTGGGGGCAGAACCCCGAGGTAAGGGGCATCAGGGTCCAGGAGGGACACAGAGGCCTGAAGCAGGTAAGACCCTGGCCAGCAGAGGGTGTAATACCAATAAAATAAAAACCAGCAGGATCTTATTAAAGGGGAAAAGGCAAAATGCCACATTTATTGTGAATACAGAAAGACTCATAGTAAGCAGTTAGTTATAGCTATAACATTCCATTCAATCTCATATTTATTCACATTCATTCATACATACACACAGACACACACACACAGATAGATACATACACACAGGTTCTGTCTGCATGGTTGTTATCATAGTTACCAGCCTTAGAGTTGCTCATGCCAAGCCACTGGCCAGGTGGCCTGGACATGAGGAGGGAGCAGGGCCTCGTCAGATGCACATCTGATGCTCCTGGAAGTTGGTTTGCAGAATCAGACCCCAAAGTTCTCACTTTCTAGAGTCCATTTTTATAGGAATTTCTTCCTATGCCAGTCTATGGGAATTGCTTCATCATGCTGTTGCTGAATCAATCAGCAGATAGCACATTTCTGAGGGCTCTGTGCTGCCAGATGTTATTTTGTTCTTTGGTTCTCCCATCTTTGAGGCTGTTGGGTGGATTCCAGTCTGCCCTCCGGGAGTCCTCTGATTATTTCCACTTGACGCCTCCTTCAGCCGATGGACACTGGATTCTTAGGCTGGCACCTCCCTGATCATTCAGTTATTATCCACACCAAGCATCCATCCCATACATCCTCTACCTCTATTTTAATCACAATTGTTAACAAAGCGAGATGAATACAACAAAAGGGCAGGGAGTCTCTGGGTGCTGTTTCTCTTGTTACAGAGTATTGCTTTGAGTCTCTCTCTCTGTGAGTAGTTGTTGTTACAAAGAATTGCTTTGAGAGCAGACTCTGTCTTAGAATGTACTAACACAATTAGCAGCTTGCAAGTTTCACACATAGAGGGAGAGAAACAGTACCAAAAACCAAGAGACCTCTTAATTAGTAAAAAGAAAAGGAGTACTTGTGGCACCTTAGAGACTAACCAATTTATTTGAGCATGAGCTTTCGTAAGCTACAGCTCACTTCATCGGATGCATGCCGTGGAAACTGCAGCAGACTTTATTTATACACAGAGAATATGAAAAAATACCTCCTCCCACCCCACTGTCCTGCTGGTAATAGCTTATCTAAAGTGATCATCAGGTGGGCCATTTCCAGCACAAATCCAGGTTTTCTCACCCTCCACCCCCCCACACAAATTCACTCTCCTGCTGGTGATAGCCCATCCAAAGTGACAACTCCTTACACAATGTGCATGATAATAAAGTTGGGCCATTTCCAGCACAAATCCAGGTTCTCTCACATCCCCCCCACCCCCATACACACACAAACTCACTCTCCTGCTGGTAAGCTCAGGTCCAGGAGGTGAGCTGATTGGGGGGGGGGGGGAGAGACCAACTATTACCGGAAATGGCCCAACTTTATTATCATGCACATTGTGTAAGGAGTTGTCACTTTGGATGGGCTATCACCAGCAG